CAATAAAGTATGGCCAAACAAAATTAATAAAATATTAATAAAAATAAAAAAGCTATTAACATTAATAGTACATTAGTACATTACCGAATTTATTTTAACCAATTAGTTGATCATCATCTAAAATAATACAAACTAGACATTCAAAAAATATAAAATTTATTGGAAAATTGTAATATATAGGTAAAGTTATTATATGTATTTGTATTAAAAGTATTTCAAATAGTAAATTACTAAAATAGTTTTAGATATTTAAACTTACATGTTTGTTATATACGAGATGTGGCAATTAAATAACGAGAATTTGTTTCTAGTTTCTAAGTGGTTACTCTGACATCTTAAAAATTTGTTGACTAAGTTCAAAAGTCTGCCAAGTTTGATAGTGATCTGTGTTAGATTTTGTGCTCGGCGGTTTTTAAAAGTTAGTAGTGTAGTGTCATGACGTACAAAAATTTGAGTTGTGAGGACTTTTTGCAACAATTCAGAGTGAAGGGCATGACCGGATGAATTCAATTATCATGGCAGATGAAAGCTGGGTATATCAATATGACACCGAGACTCGTCGACAGAGTAAACAATGGGTTAAAGAGGAGAGGAATGTGCCACGAAAGACCGGATGTCTCAAAACCAAATTAAGACAATGCTCTTMTGTTTCTTCGATATTAGGGGTATTGTGCACCGAAAATTTCTTCCTAAGGGTCGAACGATGACTTCAGTATATTACATTGAAGTTCTTAAGCGATTGTGCCATATAATGTATCATATAAGCCTGGAATTAGCTAAAAATGATTGGATCCTTCACCACGACAATGCACCTACTAACACATCAATAAAAGTTAAATAGTTTTTGACCAATAAGAACATAATAACCCTCCACCATCAACCGTTTAGCCCTATCTGATTCCACTGGACTTCTGGCTATTTCAAAAATTGAAGGAACTAATGAATGAACCTCACTATGAGGATCGGGAAAACATTTAACTTGCTGTAACATCGGTGTTAAAGAGTTTAACTTCTGAAAAGACTTCTAGAGATGTTTCCAGAAATGGTTAGAACGTTGGGCCAAGTGTGTTAGACTAGCAGGAGTTTACTGTGTAGGCACGGGTAATCATTGTAAAAATACAGTAAGTTCCCGTTACAACAAATACCAATAAAACGAAAAATCCTGTTACAAAGAAAGTCATAGAAGTMCCCTGCCAAAAAGCTATTAAAACAATGTTAAACTAATCTCAATATAACGAAATGATTGATTTTTAATAATCCTGATACAACAAACTATTTGTGCAGTTTAAAATATATGTATTTCCCTTCTTAATTTAATCTGAAGATAACAAGCATACGGTTTTACGAAATTATCAAGCCATTAAATTGTCATTATGTGTGACCGTATTACATTTGTTAAAACTGTCAATTATTTATAATAAAGTTATTTATTTTTTCCCCAAATTATTTACATTTAAATTATTTTTTTATTACATATTTACTTACAATTTGTATTTAAATCACATAATGTTTTTAAATTTCTTTTTATTAAATTTTCAAAATTTTGTTATAATGAGAAAAAAAATCGGTCCCTTGGAGTTCGTTGTAACAGAACTTAGTGTATTAAAAAATGTTTTTAAATTAAAAATTCTCGTTGTTTACTTACCACACCTCATATTTTATTCCTAACTGATTTGTTTTAAATAAAAATAAAAATATTTTAGTCTGAAAAATTTGATGCTCGTACTCAACTAGAAACTCAAGCTTATGTAGCTTGGTGTGAAGGAATGTTGCAATTTGAATTACAAGAATGGAAACCAGCTATAGAAAACTTAAAAAAGGCTCAGTAAGCTAAAATATCACTTTTTATAAATCATTGATATTTTCATGTTATTTAGACATCATGTAATTTCAGTTATAAATCCAATAACTGTATGTGAAATTTTAAAACCTTTTAACTAATCATTTTTATATACCTCACTTTCAATTTTTTTTTTCAGAATGATTTATGAAAAATTAGCATCTGCATTAAACGAAGAAGATGCTATTTTATATAGAAATCGTTATGAAGAGTTAGAACCAAGCTTACGTTTCTGTGCTTATAACATTGGAAATGAGACAGATGTTAATCAACTATTACACTTGCGTAATCAAGCACAAGGAGATTTATTAGTGACATTGGATSTTAGTTACTTAATATTAGTATAATAGAGGATATCATAACTATACATTTATGTTATATATTTATATAGACTTTGATGGCGCAAACAAGAGACTCATTAAGTGAAGTTACTTGGAGGAATCGTACAGTGCCTGTAAAGAATTCTCGTGTAAGGACATTCTTATTAGCCAACCGTGATTTTAATAGTTTGTTGGACAAATGCACTACATTAGCTGAAAAGAGTGATTCATTGGAACAACATTTGATGGACTGTAAAGATGCTATGCTAGCAATAAGAGATGATATTAAAACTGAACAGGTCGGTTATTTAATATTACTTTACATTTGTATTTTTGGATTTGAATTGATTAATATACATTTTAATTCCAGAAAATGGATGGTTCTTCCACTTCTTCGGCATCGTCATTACAGTATCTTCATACTTATTTGTCATTCATTCGTTTGGAAAGATCAATTCAACGTAATTTGTTGCTAATTGAAAGTGCATTRGAAAATGATGGAAAACAAGGAACTATTGTAAGTTAAATTTGGTGTTTTAAAATAATTTTTATTGATACCTACTATAATATATGTGTATTCTTTTGGATTATATGCTTTTTGTTATTTATTAATAATTATTACTGTAATATAGGGAAGTAAGAAACTTCAAGACGTTACAAGATTATATGAGATTTTGATACAAAATATTTTGGAAGAACAACAATTGCCTGGTTTAGAAGATGACTCAGATTTTCAAGAAAAATTAATCATTAAAGCTAAAGCTTACAAAGCATTTAGGTATTTATAAAATCTTTCATCACAGTACCTTTCTATACATTCTTTCTAATCTTATTCTAAATGATGGTGTTTCTTTTATAGATGTTATTATATTGGTCAGAGTTTAAGTACTCTGCATCGTTGGAGGGATACAATGGCCATGTATGAAAGAGCATTACTTCACATTTCTTCTGCTATCAATCAAGTTGATGATGATTTGAAGACGCGATTGAGTAACTTGGTGAATACCATAGAGTCTTCTAAATACTGTGCTCATGCTCAAAGTGTGCTCGAACAAGATAATGAGGAAGAATTGGATAGTTTGAAAAATGCTAAACTGCAAAAGGTAGTATTTTAGTATAAGTGTTTATTATTCAACATCAATTTTATTTTAAATTTTACCTCCTTTAGATGCCTTTAACAAAACGTTTGGATGAATACTATGAAGATTCTAGTGTATTAGGTAAAGATCCAAATGTCATCAAAGTACCACCTGAAATGGAAGAAATACCGTGCAAGCCATTGTTCTTTGATGTGGCATTGAACTTTGTTAATCTCCCAGCGTTCAAGAAACAACAACCAGTTTCTGACCCAGCTAATAAAGAAGGAATTTCTGGTTTTGTGAAAGGTCTGTGGGGTTGGGGTGGAAAAAAAAAGTGAATGTTTAATAAACACGTTTATATTTATGTATATATATATATTTGAACTTGTACATCCAAAGATAAATATGGATAAAATACTGTACATTCAAATATCATTTTATCTTTCAACATAGTTTAAATATTAAAAGTGTGTTCAAATAATGATAATATATTATACAATATAATTTTACATTTATGATTAATTCATTATTTCTACATTATATTATCTGGTGAAATATAATTACAGCTAATGAAAATAGTTTCATTGTTTTTATAATACAGATGTTTAATAATAAGGAAAACATTGATAATGACTAACAACATGATGCATAATATTTACAAATTCATAATAATAATTTGGTAATGGTATATTTAATATTATAATGTCAATGACATTATATAATGCACTCACGTATAGTACTTTAATATTAGTTTATAAGCGACAGTATTTGCAAGAGTTGAATATAATATACATAATATTGTATTGTAATATGTACACGGATGAAAATTAATAAACAAATTGGCAAATCTTTTTGTGGTTAAATCGTTTTCATTTTCGTCATTTATTCRTCTAACACGTCTGTCCACCACTTTTRTCCCTTCTAGCCGCATGACTCCTAGCGTGCTTTCTCAAGTGATCTTTCCTGTAAAACGCACGGCCACACTCTATACAAGCATGCCTCTTCTCACCTGTGTGCACCACCTTGTGCAAGGTTAGTTGCTCCTTACGCTTGAACGCTTTACCACACACCGTACAGGCATACGGCCTTTCTGAACTGTGGCTCTGTCTGTGTCTCGTCAGGTGGTCYTTKCGCTTCAACCCTGCACCGCAGATATCGCACACGAACCGCCGTTCCGTTGCATGTGTGCCCAGGTGTTCCTCCAGCAGATGCTTGTCCAAGTACTCGGCCCGGCACTCTGGACATCCGAACATTGTGGTTCCATCCGCACAGCTCGTAATCCGTATCTGACCCGGCTTTGGCTTGACCTGAGACGACGACGATATCGTGGTCGTGGTCGTCGTAGGCGGACAGCGGTCACTGGCTGCAGAGGCTGCCGCGGCGCTCACTTGTCTGCCTTGTTTTTTCCTCTTCTTCGGGGGTTTCG